TTACTTTTTTACAAATTTGCTCTGGAATCCTACTTAACTTTGTTGGTTGGAATTTTTTATGTTCTTGTTTGTGTTGATTTTTTAATAATATTTATAGGTTACCATTGTGATACTTGTTGATTTTACACAAACAATAATTTTCTTTATTATTATTATGTTATGACTTTACAGCATTTATGAGAGGCAGCACTGATATGCTGAAGGAATATCAACTATATACTGATGACAAGTGAAATTAATACTAGTTTTGACACAAGTCCTTGTTCAAGAAGCTGTGAGCTGAGAGTGTTCATCTTCCCTGCATTTCTGTAGCTATATTCCTGTTCTTCCAGGCTGTCAGTTGTCAAGTTCATATTATCATTGCATATCATAACATTAATAAATTGTTTGTCTTTAAAATAAAATAAAATCACACATTTGATAAAACAGTAACATGTTAATACCTTCTCTTAGCTGGAAAACTCCACTAAAGTATTGCAGTTGATTCCAAGCCATGCAAGCAAAGCTAGGTAAAAAAATTAATTGGTTCTTCCAGAGCTGCAGATATATCCATAGATAATAGAGTAAATGTGTACTCTAATATATCTATGATATATCTGCAGATCTGAGCATGCACGACCACACCCAAATATTAGAGCACATGCTTCTTTAATTAACAAAATGGCGGCATGCAGCTAAGATGGTACGATCCAGCAGTCATACTAAGTCGAAGTATCACTTTTCTCCTTTCTTGCAGAGTGATCTGATGGAACATGGACCTGCGCATAGACTGTTGGAGTAGATTGGTGTAAGAATTATCCTTGTAGCATCAACCAATACTGAGCTTGGATACACACCGACAACTGGATTGACATGACTTGATGATGATGATGAAAAAAGGTGGCTGAACAAAACGGCCGGTTCGCCGATTTTTTGGCTTTCCTCTTAGACAAAGTCTAGAGCCATGCTAGTGGTACCATCGGAGTCCTCTGGTCAAGATGAGGACCTCTAAGAAGTCCGGTAAGCGTAGAAGCTCGTTTTCCCGGTCAAGGCTGCAAAAGTCGTGGCAGCCATTTTGTTTAGGGGTGAATCCTACTTAGTAAATAAATAACGACTAATAGTACAGGGATTTTGGCCAAAATTTCATCAAAAATGAAAAGAAGAAATATCACCGTTTTAAATAATTTTTTGATACACATACATGTAGATCTACTTATGTAGAAAATTTGAATTGATAATTCTGATCAAGTTTCAATTTTTTTTACAAATTTTACAAGTTGCTCAAAACTAAGCCAGTGTATACATACATTTTGAAATGATAATCTTTTAATCTTATATACATTGTAGTTTAACACAAATTGCAAGGATAAAATTGTTTCAAAAATTCATTCTCTGGGAAAAAAGATGAGGCTTGCTCTTTTAAAAATTTTCTAAGTTCAGCTTTGTATATCAGGGGCGTAGCCAGGGGGGGGCAAGGGGGGCAATTGCCCCCCCTTTTTTGAAACTCAAAATTTAAAAATAATCAAATAATAAGCTGCTTTTGGAAGGAAAAGCTGTTCTACAACTTACATATGAAAGGAAAAGGCCAAAGCAGTCTTTCTATGATGCCATTATAAGGCTGAAAAGGTATTCAACGTTGTCTATGATCGGTCAAGAAGTCCGCCATGTTGAAAAATAGGTGTGGCCACGCCACAAAAAGGCGTGGTTTCGCNAAAATTTCGCGGCGCGCTTCGCGCGCCGCACAACTTGCCCCCTCTTTCCAAAAATCCTGGCTACGCCACTGTATATCAACCATGTATTAAGCTCAAAACTTCCTTTTTTGTATGAAAAATTTGGCCCATTTGTTTTTTTTTTCATTTCTTAAAACTATTGTCTTTCAACTAACATAAATATTTTTATAGCTATAACACAAACACAATATGCATTAAGTTAAGTGGTAACATTAAATATATGTTTATTTGCATCACTAATAGTATACATAAAAAAGATGAGTGGGAACATTATTAAAAAGGTGGTACATGCACTCCACATTCAGAAATCTCAGGCCTGTTTGACGATCTATTTGTGAATGTATAATATTTTCAAATAATACAGTAACTAACTTTGCTTTATAATCAATTGTAGCATAAGTTGGAATGCTTTGCAATGCAATGTTGTTCTCTGGTTTTCTATTAGCCATAATTTTAAAAACTTTATTGTAATAAATGCTCATTTACCTCTTTTGGTCCGTTCTTTTTACATGCAAAACAATTACCAATACAGCCAGTGCTATGATTGGTATATAAACTATAGTCACACCAACTATCAATCCAGTGGTAGTTACAGTAGTTACAGTACCTGCTACTGTAGGATGAAAAACTGAACAAAAACAGGAAGAAAATGTTTAATTATCATTATCAGTAAATTATGTTTTTTCTTATTTTAATAATGACATACAAACCAATGCTTAATTATGATGTTAAGCATAACAACACAAACTGACTACATACGTCTATTAGTATATGTCATGTCTTACTTATTGGTGATCCTGTAACACTAATGACTGATGAAGTACTTGATACAATAGTAGGAGTTAGAGTAACACCTAAATACATGAAATGAGTATTATTCATTGAGTGACTTATTATAGTATTACCTGGTGGTATTGGTTGAGTCCTCTCTCCTTCATAAATGATTCCATTAACAGTATATGATATAGATATAGAGAACAAGTAGTTCAGATTAGGATCTAATCCTCCTATTAGACCTTCAGTAGTATCACCTGGGAATACTCTCATTCCTGTCTCTACTTGTCTCTTCTTTCTTGAGGAGCTACTGGTTGACTCATAATAGACAGTATAATGACTAGCTCTACGAATTAAATTCCACTTAGCTCTCACTGCTGTAGAACTGAGCTTCATTACAGAAAACATTTCAAGGACAACTAAAATAAGATATAACTAAACTTATTGTGACACTAATTTTTTACATATTTGAAGAGTACTATATTCTCTATCAGTCCATTGTCCTGGTCCAATACTAGTATATGCTCTCACTCCAATAGTATAACTAGTATTAGGTATCAATCCTTGTATACTGTATAAAGTGTCAGTAGTATTAGTTACACTGTATGGGCCAGTACTGGTAGACTCTCTATATCTTATCTCATATACTGTAATGATACCATTAGGTATTGTAGGAGGATTCCACACAATAGTTATTGCATCTGGGTCCCTTGCATATCTTAGATCAGATATCAAATCCGGAACTGTGTTAAGATCATGTTAAATTAATCCATATCTCATTGACTTACTTGATTCAGCAGTTAATTGTATTTCTTGTCTAGCTGGTCCATTCATATTATAATTATAAGGTATTATACTCACAGTATAGTTAGTATATGGTATTAATCCTGTGAGATTATACATTCTGTTGTCTCCTCCAGTGATATTAACAGTATAACTAGTGTTTGAAGTGATGCTAGTGTATGTGAGGTAGTATCCAGTGATTGGTCCATTCCTTCCATTGCAAGGTACTTCATCCCATGAGACAGTCATTGACACCGACTCTACTGATGAGAATATAATATCACCCACTGGTGCAGTAGGGGCTAGAGTATGACTAGCTATAAAAAGAGAAATACAGAATACTAATAATTATTATGGTCAAGTATCAAATCAATTCTTACTATTGTTCACATTGGGGGAGCATTGTTCTGTTGCTGCTTGTACCATCAGTAAACTAACCACAAGGTAGTATGCTTTCATGAAAGTTAAAAGAAAACAAGTTGAGAGTGTCATCCTATTTCCTAGAAATGATTCACTGGATGTAGATCCAG